GAATGTATGTAAATTAAATTGTATATAAGAACAGGCGTAGTTTTTTTTTTCTAAGTGTAAAAAGAAAAAACAAAAAAAAACGATGCTGTTGCTGTTTTAGTGATTGACTATTGTGTTTTTCTAAGTCACATAACAATTTATATCACTTTTGTTCATTATAAACATTCCTTTATAAATTCAAGCATTGTTCATTCGATTACGTATTCGAAAACTATTTCGTCATCATTTTAGAACTGTTATGGAGTTCTCTTAACATTTTCTTCAATTAGTACTAAGCCACAACAATCTCCTTCAATTAAACCTACAGTATTTAATATACAATATTCTGGATAACTTATTAAAAACTACAACTACAAGTCGCTTTTGAACGCGTTTGTCATTTAGCGTTAAAATGTAGGTAAATACGGTTTAGTATTATGTGTACTCAACTTTATAAATCGAACTGGTTTCATAGAACTATTTTTCATTTAATTTCGTCACAAAAATCAGAAAGTGTAAGTTGATTTGAGAAACAATAAGAATTAATTACAGTGAAGAAATCTAAAGAAAATTAGCAATGTTAGATAATAGAGAGGGTGCTTGAAGCTAATCTATGCTAAGCGATAGGAAAAAATAAAAGTTTTTAAACAAAAAAAGGAGATATGACTAGATCTTTTTGTTTCATTTCTATGATCTACGTTTCATAAAGCACTAGGCGCATCTCTCCATATTTCTTTTATTTTATAAATAGATATAATTAGATTACTTAATTTGGATCTAAAGTTCCTTTTTTTTCTGATTTTAATATAAATGGCTTTCCACTTAATCTAACTAATGTCGGCCGGCGCTAATGGGAGGCGTGCATCCCGCGCGGCGCTAGTGGCGCCACACACCGGCTGACGAACTAACTACCTACAATCGCCTAAGAGTTTGGCTTGGATTCGATCGTTTCACACGATTGAACATCCTCGAGTGCATTGCTTCACTTCTACGCGAACTCTACCTAAAATTTTGAGTATGCACACTATATAAATACATTATAAAATTTCAGAAGTTTTAAATAGTTTAAGAAATTCGTATTTTTAACACTAAGAATTTAATTAAATCGATTTCAGTTCGCGAGCGATCGATTGGACGAGTCACCGCAGCGTCCCCTACCACGATATCCTAAAATAGAAGAAAACTTTCGAGTTGTCCGCGTAAAGTTTCCGCGAACGTTGGTTCCCTACAGAGTCGGGACGCCGCGGCTCCGACCTGCCCGCGGTGATGCCGAGATGACTGGTGAGGGTCTGAGCTCCGGAACCGGGTAGTGCGGGACAGTTGCGAACGTAAGTGTGAGCTAAGCGATGGTTCCGTCCATTCGCGAATGTTGTCGCCGTGTGATGAGGATGAGTCCGGTTATGCTACTTTCGTTACGACATAGAGTATGAAAGTCCTGGGAGACGGCTGTCGGCAGCTCTGGCGGAGCTCCACGTGCAGCCTACGTCAGACAGTACGGCAATGCCTGTCTACGTGAAAACATTAAGATACATTTAAATAATTGCAAAGCATACCCTGTATCCTAAAATCACTTTATGGGTAATTGTTTTTTCCATTCAGAGGACTCATTAATCTATTACAAACGTTCGCATCATCGCAATATACCTTTAAGCTGCTTTCGGACTACGTTATACTAGAGTGCCATATAGTATAGCAGCGTATACTTAGCCAATAATATATAGAACAGAACAGTGTGAACGTGTCCATAACAATGTATGGTGTGAGATATTGTTGGGCTATGAGCTGTATATTAGATGTTATTATATTATAGCGTAGTTTGAAAGCGGCTTTAAGGGAATTTAATTTTTTTTTATCAGTATAAAGTTCTAAGTTCACCGTCGTGACAGTCCGGGCACGAGGCGCCCTGGAACCGGGCGATCCCGGCGTGACAGTCCTACATTATCCACGAGATGATATTTTTGTTAGTAGACATACTTAGTATACATGTTCCGGTTTGGCATCGATTTATTCGTAACCTAAGTAGGTGAGGGCGCGGCTTATAGTGTGGTGCTACCCTCCGCTCGCCATCCTGTCGACACGAGCACGGTCCATAATATAATCGCGTGCAATATACTCAAAAGAAGCAGATCCTACAGTAATTCATCATAAACAAGAAAGGCGGGAAAGATCTCATTTTGACAGCTGACAAGCGTTCCCTTCTGACATATTTTTTTTTGTGCGTTTAAAGTCCGGCTCCGCGATCGTTAACAAACCGAGACCACTTAGACGAATTAATCTAAAATGGTAACGTAAAAAGACTACCTCAATAAATTAGGCATATCGAACAAATAAATAAAAAAAGAACGACGCTAAAACAATTTTCAAAAAGCGTAACAATTATTGCACAAACGTGAGACTTATAGAAGAAAATAGAAATATTTAAAACGATCGTTTTTTTTTTTCGTATCAATTTTACAAATGCCTCAAGTGAAACAATAACGCCTAAAACTAGAACACTAGATAATTATAATATGATAATTATACGTGTAAATATAAAATTCTATACTGTTATGAAGAGTGAAATATTTAACTAATATAGATCAACGTCAGTGAGTACAACACGCTGCGATGAAAGTCGCGCGCCGCACGACGTAGCGATTGATTCATTGCGACTATCGGCTGTTTTCTATTTAAAATCAACATAAAAGTTAGCTGTTTCGATGATCGCATGCATTCCAATCTAGACGAATCATTTAAAGGAAATTTCCAAATCTATTTGAACAAAGTTATTAGTGAATTGTAAGATGTAAATATTAGTTTTGTTTTTTACGAGAAAAATTGTCAGAATAGAATAAATGAATGAATTTCTATTACGCGCTTTCGAATTCCTGTAAATCATGTAAATTGTAAGTCGCAACTAAATCAAGCGCTTTCGCGTGGTTTACACCGGCAAGCGCGCTCATCTTACCTTAACGTATGTAAGTACGAGTATGTTACAATTTATTATTACATTGGTACATTTTGTATAGAAATTACGCTATTATGTATTTTTAGTTCGCACGTAGCACTGTTGGCTCCCTCAATGCGTTGGTCGCTATACAATAAATTCTTATAAATCTATGAACTTTGCGTTACGATACGGTAAGTGTGCATTTAACCTTTAATTAAACGAAGTCAGCTCAAGAATTCATTGCTTTGAAGTAATGTAGCATTAACGATAGTGTGAGATGCAACCTCCTAGATATACTCGTATGTATGTGGGAAACAGGGCCGCATTTAGAAGATTATTATTTAATATTCGATGGTAATTAAGGCGTTGCTGTGACGGTTTCTGGTTTTGGATCATTAGCGTTCGTAATAAATACCAATAAAAGTCGGTATTTATTATATTAAATACGTATCTTAGTAGAATTTATACGGTAACTTTAATACGTAGATTCGATTTTTACGGTCTTCTAGATACGTATATTGTTAAATGCTGAACACTACTTGTTTATCATTGGATACATTTATGTAAGTGATAAAAATTGAATTGGCGACATTTTCATTTTATTTAGTTGATCTTGTTTCGATCGAAGGACACATATCTATGTTAAACAATGCCAAATACAGATATAGATCTCAATCCTTTAACAAAAGATAATATACAAATTAACTACATAAGTTTATAATGATACAATCCAAGTGAAGTAAGGTTTTTTACGCTAGACAGCATCTCTGGCATTGTCGGTGGGCGCGGATAGCCACTTACCGCCAGGCGCGCTGGAAGCTTATCCATCTTTGACAGCCAAATAATCTTTAACAACAGTAATATTGCGTAGAGTTTGGGAGACAACAGCGTTCGTAATGCGTTGGGCCACGTCAGATCATCAGATAATTAAATGTATCGGCTTTATGATATAATAGCCCTTTGCCATCGAGAGGATTGTCAAAGTCATTACACCAGTTTGACGTATTAAGTCAATCAAGATGTTTTAGTTAAGTTTGGCTTCTTTGAGTACCGTCCTTGCCGAAGCATAATAATATCGCTTCGTTTAAACCGTGAAGGGTAGAGGTAAGGAGAACCGTCTTTGTGTGTGAAAAGTGTCCATTAAAATCTGCTAAATAAGGTTGGCGCTATAGTAGCAACCGGGTAAATTAAAAAAAAAGGCGCTGTAAGTTATTAGAATAAGATAGAGAAATAAAAAAGGACGAAAGAACTGTAAGCACTGCAAAACCACAAAAAGTATTTTATTTAAAGCTGATAAGAAAATGCAATCGATGTGTCCAGGTTTTACCACAGCAATAATTTTAGGTTATATTGACGCAATTAGTTTGGACTTCGTAAACATGTGAGGTCTTGTATATTACACTGTCACTAACTCTGGTCATTAAATATATTAAATTTCTTAACTCAGCATACTTCAATCAGTAAAGAACTGCTCAATTCACATCATACCCTGTGCCTATGCTAGCGCCATTCTGGAGGATTTTTGAACTGTTATGTAGTACTGAAAGTGGGACACTTTTTCAAGCTTCGCCCATATGAGACGGTTCTCCTTACCTCTACCTTCCATAGTTTAAACGTAAAACCACTCAAGTGCAAAGGGATAACTCAATGCTATACTTATTATGTGAATACTTAACGTTAAATCAAATTAAGCTTAAGCCGAAAATTAAATGATTGTTATGAACGAGAAATTTAACATTTGAAAACGTGCTGTCTAAAAGATCATCTGTGGCCCACGCTGTTTTTTTATTTTATAAAAACGAACATTTAAAATACATTTTAATATATATTATTAAATTTTCTTAAGATTTTCTTGACTTACTTAATAAATTCACTTTGGCTTTGTCCAAGCAAACAACTAGTTCAATACTTTTTACATTCAAAATTTTAAGGACCTAGAAGTTACGATTTTTTGAATACGAATGACAATGTTTTTTTTTTAATAGTAAACGTGTCATTTTAATAATAATAATAATAATAATTTAATTAAAAGTTTAATAAATTGTATAATATATGATCATATAATAGAATATTATAATATTTAATCGTTAATGATAAGAATGAAGCGTCCCTAAGAGCTGATTGAATAAATTACTTTTAACTAATTTAGTATACTCTAGCCATTTGGGCTGGCACGTAACGTGTACGAAGTGATATTCTCTATATAATAAAATGTGTTAAATTCCTTTAATTAAATTGATAATACGCGAACGAACGCGCCGCGGACGGTGCGGGGTAACCAAACGCCTCCTGTAACAAACAAAGGCGTTATGTCGAGGGGTTAAATAATAATAATAATAAATAATAAATAAATATTTACTGACAATCACGCCACGTTAACTGGTCCCGTGGTAAGTTCGTAAAGAACTTGTGTTACAGGTACCAGATAACGGAAATAAATGTAAGATTTTTATTATACACATACATATATTTAATATACAAAATAGGATCTGGAAAATACATCTTTTATTTATTTTTATCATACGAATATCTTCCCTTGGCGGGATTCGAACCCGCGACCCCCTTGTGTAGTGACCATGTCACTTACCACTACACCAGACGGCCGTTAAAGGTTATTTTGTTAAAGCGACATTTTGCTTAATACGCAACATTTATCTTTGTAATTAAAGGTCCGTTTTATTCGGTATAAGCTTTGTTTTAAATTAAACTTCAATTATGGTTACCTCATTCGAATAGCCTAAGAAGTTTTTTTTTTGTAATGAAATTTTTTCCAAATTTCAAATTGTAATTGGCTCTCCTGTAAATTTGCAAAAATGTCGCTTAAATTAAATAGCTTTCCATCCCTCGATGTGTAAACGAGAAAGAGCTTTTTAAGTTCTCGCGATAAGTTGATAAAATTAATTCATCTTTTTGTTGTTTATTGTCTTAAAGATTACTTTTTAAAAACTGAAAGCTTAGGAATTGTTTTTTAATTTTAACAGATTTTAACAGTAAGCACTGAGTATATATAAGTATTAGTGTTTAAGATAAGGGCTGTTCTACGCTAAAAACTGGAACGCATGTCTGATTTGCGGCAGATATAAACGGTAAGAAAGTATCCGGAAATGTTTTGTAGCTTATTTTGGATTTTGTATAAAACCTCCTCTGAGTTGAGCGTGTGTGCTTACCAGTGGCACGTCGTGGACGCGCGGGGACGGCGTTACGTGTTAATAGGGCCGATTGGCGTCCTTCGGCCGTTTGAGCTGGACCTTCAGTCGCTTCATGCCGATCTGGAAGCCGTTCATGGCTTGGATCGCAGCTTGCGCCGACGCCGGGTTATCGAACGACACGAAACCTGACGAGGAACCTACGTTTTTAATGTCACGCTCCATAATCTAAGCAACAGATTTGTATGCGAGGAATTTATAAACGAAAAAACATTTAAGAAAATCTAAGAAACGAACGTTTCGTCTATTAATATTTATATCGTTAAGGTCTTAACGAGTTTAGTTATGATTTAATTGACTTTACTTTACTTTACAATAGGAAACGGGCGCCATTTTGAGATATATGTCAAATAGTAGGTTGTAAGAACGACTGGGAAAATAGAATCGGCTGTCCTACCCATCAAACAGGAACGCATGGCTATTCGCGACAGAAATAGACAGGCTAAAAGAACCTGTACTGCGATTGAAAGAAATCTAATTTAGAAAAAAAAAAGGTAACAATGAAACCTGAATGTGCCCGAAGATTCCCTAATATATATACTAACCGAAACACTTGCTTTGGTTAGTGGCACGATCGATAAAGACTTTGCTGCTGATCACGTTGCCGAAGGGAAGAAACATCTGCATGAGCTCGGCATCTCCAAATTCCTGGGGCAGGTGGTAAATGAAGAGGTTACAGCCCTCAGGGCCGGAAATGGAGCAGCCTGGGAACATCAGAAATTCTTTAAAGAACTCACAAATCTGCTCTCAAACACCAATGTTCTTTATTTTGTTAATGTGTGAGTATGATGTTTTATTATGAAATTTTTAAAGGAAAACAAATTTGGAACTTTCGTAAGGGCCAATCATAGGACCAACATGAAGGAGACATTAATGCAGTAATTTCAATTAATTCGCTCATGAAATTGTGAAGTAGAAGCAACTTTAAGCTTAAATTGTGAGAATGTCGGAAAATGCGGGTAGTCGGATAATTACTGAAAACTACTGCAGATGAATAGAAGATCGTCGGATGTGATGTTATCGGTCCGATGTTAATACGTTACGCCTAATGTTCGTGATTTAGAAGAAGGTTAGAAGCAAACAAAACGTTCCCAGGGTTAACCAAGAATTAGCCGATAGTGTATTAAGCTGAAAAGTTGACAGACATCGAACACAAACTTCATGCACACGCATCGATGGACAGATTAACAAAAAAAATAATACTAAGTCACTTCATTCAGTTTGGCATTCGAGATTGTCGTGTCCGAAACTGGTGGATACTGGAATGACGTGACTGAGAATTTTCGAACGTTGAGAGACAAGAGAAAAGGAAGCTAGTGTGAAAATGAAACAGTAACAGAATAAGATGGGAAGCGTAGTGACACAACATTTAGATGCAATGAGATGAACGATACGAAGGCGGGATGATCAGCGAGTATTGAGCGAGGAGGGCTCGCAGCAGCCAATTGTTTCGTTATTCGCAACGTGAAGGACCGCGCAGAACTATCGGTTAGCTATCGTATGACGAGCGAATACCTAACGCTACGTGCTCTCCTATTTCTGCCGCAAAGCATGCGTTCCGGTTCTAGTGTATTATAGCCGGTCAAGCGCAGGAGACTTCCATCTACATCATCAGGCAGGCACAGATTATACATGTCTATGGATAACGGTAACCGAAAAATTAGACCCTTTGCCTGTCGATGAGAATAGAAAATAACATTTTTTTTTTGATTATGCCCGATTTCGGAAAACGAATTTTGTGTTAAATTTTGAAGGATTATTTTTCAGCCAATCATTAGGGCGCACAGTTTATGATCCTGTGGTTTTTTTATATAGTTATTGAGTATTCGTAAAAGAAAGCGTATGTGAATGTTAATAAAAGCTGTTTCTGATCGTTTAAAAATATTCAGTAGTACTTTCAAATTGTGTTAGATGAAGTACTTGAAGCATTCTGGGATAGTGCTATGCAATGTAGATTAATTCTCTAAATTTTTCACTGGCTCGTGAACTCGGGAGCTCTACCGTGAGGCTCCACTTACCTTCTCGCTGGGCCGGTGCAATGGTGGACAACGGTGGTGGAATGGGCTGTGGGAACTGCCCATATACCGCTGGGTAAGCTGTCAAACATCAATTGGCAAGTTTTCACAATGAACACCTAAACCTTACACACATGCAGACCAAGCCATAAGCTACTCAGCCCCCATACGAATGTCTACAGTTGTTGCGTTCTTTTATGAATCAATCGTTTGATCTCTAAGGTGGTAATCTGTATTTTGATCTAAACCCGTAAATTAAGCAATTTATTTTGATAATTTAAAAGGAAATCATACTAATAGAATCATAGGCGGAGCTTAATTTGTTTATCTCTAAATGTATTTTCGACACCTTTGAAATCAATCGATTTAAATATCACATTCAATATTCATATAACTACGTAGAATGGTTCTGGCTTTTATCTACGACAACAATTTATCAAATTGTTGATCATCAAACAACAACTTTCTAGAAATATTATTCGTTTAAAACGTTTAATTAAAATTTTTATTAGAATATTATATGTTCCAAGTTACACGAAATGGCCAATAGCGACTTTTTATAAACATATATATTTTTAGTTTCGTACAAGTTTGCATTGTTTTATTTGACTAGACTTTGTGGAAAACAAACATTGAATGAAACACGCTTATAATTACAATATAAATTGGTATATAAAACGTTTAGATAAATAAATTTATGAAATAAATTATCGAGATATAGTTAATAATGTTAATAAATTCTCTTATTGATTTCAATTGAGATTTGGTTCAACTGTTTTTCGTCACAGCTCATAAGGTATTGCCGATCGAGTGCTTACAAAAAAAGTCATATTTCATACATTTAAAGAAAGACCAGGCGCAGTTTCATCCAGTACTAGTAGTAGTAATGTCTTTTTTTCTTTTCCTTTTTTTTCCGACCTAAGCTGATGGCCGTGAGAGGCAGCATAACCTAACAATTAGGCGAGCTTACGGAGCTCAAATCTGACGACGTTGCTAACACTAGCCTTAGTAAGAGCCGTGCTTCGCAGAATCTACCACCGGATCGGAAACGCGACCCACTGAGAAGATCTGGCGAGAAACTCAGTGGGCTGTGACTGTGGGTTAATTTACTCGCCGAGTCCTTCGTCGCAAGCGACGGGTTCGACGAGAACGATGAAAAATGATTAGAAAGTTTATTATACGACTTTAGGTTTTGTTACCGCTAAACTATTACAGAAACTGTTTGGTTGTTTGAAGATCAATTAATTGAATTTCCATTACGTAAAACAAAAACAAACGCATTTGCCACATCAATGTTCATAATCATAAATTCTGTTAAAAAAAATAATAATAATAAGAAATGTGTTCAATTCTGTTACTAGATTGTTTATTTAGGGAAATCATTTGGGAAAATACCGGCACGGAACTTTATGAACAAGTGAATAATACAGGTAACCCGTTTATAACACCGTACTTCGATAACGAGATTTTTGTTTAAAATTATTCAGAAATTTACATTATGCATTATGAACACAAAATATATGGGAATAATCGATTTTTACCGCTTATTTTTTATGTATACATAATAAGCAAAAAAATACATTTTTATTTTTATTGCTTAGATGTGTGGACGAGCTCACAACCGACCCGGTGTTAAGTGGTCACTGGAGCCCATAGACATCTACAACGTAAATGCGCCAGCCACCTTGAGATATTATAGTTCTAAGGTCTCAGTATAGTTACAACGGCTGCCCCGCCCTTCCAACCGAAACGCATTACTGCTTCACGGCAGAAATAGGCAGGATGGTGGTACCTACCCGCGCGGACTCACAAAAGGTCCTACCCCCAGTAATTACGCAAATTATAATTTTGCGGGTTTGATTTTTATTACACGATGTTATTCCTTCACCGTGGAAGTCAATCGTGAACATTTGTTGAGTACGTATTTCATTAGAAAAATAGGCCCGCCTGAGATTCGAACACCAGTGCATCGCTCAACACGAATGCACCGGACGTCTTATCCTTTAGGTCACGACGACTTCAATACACGAATTTTTGAGATGTCTCACTCAGAAAAATTACCCTCGTCTTTGTACTGGCTTCTAGTCTCATAATAATATAACGCGGTTTTGCACAACACGAGTCTATGTAGGAACGTATCTACCGTGTTATAGGAAAGCTACCTGTATTATGAATTCCGTGCCAAGGGACAGAGTTCAATTCTTGCCGGCGTCTCTACTGAAAAGTGTCTCAATACGTCTGCTATTCGCGGTCTGAGTGTTTATGTGTTTGCTTTGTACGCAATGCCAATGCCGGTGTCAATAGAATGAAGAAATGACGAATGTTTAAAGACAAAAAAAATATAAAAAAAATTGCTGATATAAACCGACGAACCAACGGCTAATCCGATCGTAAGTGGTTACCGTGTGCCCCAACAAATTCTGAGGACTGTTACTAAACCTCGTTTGAAGAAGGACATGTCATAGCACTCAGAGAGCACCGTGGAGGGAGAAGCTTTAGAATAAACCTTATATGAAAAATAATGGTGATGCGGACTGTTGATGAATGCGGCGGTTCCGAGTAGTAGATTTGGACTCCAAAACTCTTATCGAGATTCAATAAAAACATAAACTAAAACATAATTTGCCAGAGATGGTTTAAAACGAAAAAAATAATAATAATAAAACAGATAGATTGCAACACGTACGTAGTACATTTATTACGCTCTCATTTATAATATTTTCTTATTATTAAAAGTGATTCATCAAAAATATTTACGGATACAAAAAGGAGAATTTTAGTTATGTGGCTCGAAGGTGATATTTATTTGTCTTTTCTTATAAAGATCATACGATCATTGAAGAAGCCCACGTGGTTGGTTTACAGAGTAAGCATGCATTCCGGCTTGAAGAGCAGGACACTTTTGGTAGAGAAAAAAAATGATTTGATAGGCAGCGATGTCCGTTTGTAGTTTGAACATTCCACTATTCGGATAGCATTGACATATGTACGCTCTATTGGATTGGAGCACACTAAGTAAAAATTAGTAAAAAATGGTAAATAACATCGAATCGGTTATCAAATTTTTTGTATATATTTTTTTTTTTATAATTCAAGTAGGAAGCTATGCTTATTTAGTAAATCGGTACATCCTGATGAAATAAGTGCTAAGCACTATATTCATTTGTTTGGGTTGTCCGTGAATACTGTGAAGTAAACAAACGTGAGGTTAAGATAGCAATAGCATTTTTAATTACGCGTTCGATTCACGAAAACTAAAGAAAATATGATTGGTTTGCTTTGTTTTATTTATATAGTCGTATGCTCTTACGGGGCGAGCCTCTCTTGTTTTATTTACTGGTTGCACAAAAGAGTGGACTTGATTCAATCAGTGTAATCTATACTAATATATAAATCTACAGTGGTTTTTACGGATGTTCCGTTATAACTACTGAGCCGTGCATCCGATTGACTTGAAACTTGGTATCCATGTAGAAAATACATGTACTTACTGGATAGGCTAATATTTATATGAGTGTTGGACCCCCTAATAATAATGACAATAAATAATAATGTTAATTTTAAATACCCAGCGAGGCGGGCGAGTACGGCTAGTTTTCTTATAAATGAGAGCGTGTCGCGGTAAGCGGTAGGACAATGAAGTTTCTTCGTTACTCACCTACGCCAGGGAAGGGCTGCATTCCCCCTCCGTACGCGTGCTGCAGGGCTGCGGCCTCGCCGTTGGGTAGACCTTGAGTTACCTGCACGGCTGCAAGACATATGACACGGGTGAAAATATATGAGCACATACAGGACGCAGTCCCACGAGATGGTCGGACCAAATACGATCTTCTCTTAACATCAACTTCTACAATGCCCTTCATGAAATTAGGATCGCAGCAAATGGAGGGAAATCGTATGGGAGAAACTGATGCAACGGGGGAGTCACGACCCTCAGTAATGAGGAAAACGATGTGAGGAGGAGGACATGAATATAATGGATGCTTAAATGTGATTTAAGGCTCTTGTAGACTCAATTGTCTTTAATTATTTGTGCCAAAGCTACCAGACTCTTAATCGAAAACAGAAGATACCTTTCTGAACTAAGGGGTTAGTCGTCGAATGACAAGTAAATTTATTCATATAAATGGTTTGTGAATGATTTAGATGAATGCCTCAAGATCGCCTAGATATACTGTAGATTGATTGTTATGGACATGATATGACTTTTGGAGACTACAGCGTGGTCTTCCATGGTTTATTACTCGGTAGGTCGACGGTTCAAATCTCGAGATTAGGTTCTATGATCATTTATTTTGGCAATGTAATAAGTCCCTTATAATGATGGAGGATGAAGATCTTCTCATCTAAATTGAAGATTCATATGAGAAAGTTACTACCTTTTCATCCGTGTCCATTATTTTAGTGGGTGGTTTGAAGATTACTAACCTTCGACACATTGACAACACAGCACTTCTTCAGAGAAAGAATTGGCTGAATTTTTGTTTAGATTACAAAATGAGAACAGTTTGATTGATCTCGGCATCCTTCTGCTTGCATCGCGTTTCTGAGGGTCGTGACTTTTACGGAGCATTTTTGTTCGGACTATGTTCGTCAATGTATGTTCCTCAATTCTTTCCTGTCTTCTGTGCAGTGGATAGCGATATTGATGCTGGAGTCCAATGCTGTCTTAATTTGATTGGACTAGCACATGGGACTACGCAGAATCAACCACTTGAGTCCTTAGTGAATTATATGTAAAAACATGATTCTAAACCATCTGTTTCCAACGAGCTTTAAGTTATTCTCACACAGCTACGTGTAGCTGGTATGCAACGCTATAGATCATCATAGCCTATAAAATGATTCAAGTTTTTGGCGTGTATCTTCTACTCTGTGGTATCGATACATCCCTTTACTCTACTTACGTCCGGTGAATGTTTGGTGAATGCCATTAGTGTAGACCGCTTCTTGGGGCTGTGGTTGTCCATTGGGAGTCTGAGCAGCCATGTTGAAGCCCGGCATAGTAGGAGACGGCAGAGATGGTAGAGCACCATTGAGAGGCTGACCGGTGCCTATCGCCAGACCAGAAAAGTTATCTGGAATGAGAAAATCCATATCTTATTGATACTGTGCCGGTAAATCTGGTTTGACCAGGCTTAGTAAGATATCAAGTGTAGTATAAATGCTCATCGTAAACGGTCATTCTAGCCTTCATTCATATAAGGTGAATAGATTTTATTATTGTGATGGAAATTAGCAAGACACTTAAGTTTAAGGACTTTGCCATATGGTGTATAATAAGGTGAATGCTAAAATTTTGCGATAATTTAGCATTTACAAAACTATATATCGACTATAACGTCGCACGTGAGTTGTTTCAATTGCATTTATTCTTCGTGAAGCTTGATGATAAAGCGATAATTCTAGTGACGGCATTGGTGAGCGAATTGTGAAGTGATCTTGTTGACAAACGAGAATACACACCGGATGTTGGCGGTACAACAGAGTTAGTCATTCCGTTGAGGGCGTGTGATGCGATCGCAGACATAGGGTTGATGTAGCCTTGAGCCGTCGCGGCCACCATCAGCGCTGCTTGTTGCTGAAACATTATTTTCAATCGTTAGTGAAGCGTCAAGCTAAAATTTTACAAATATCTAGAGGGGCTAACTCACTTTAAAATCTTTATTACAAAATAATTAAGAATGTGTTATGTTTGATATTTTTGAGATTTAGTTGTTATACTGGAGTTATAGTGATTTAAAAAAAGAGTTACAACTTAATTAGTAATATGTGTTACCAATTTTAAGTATAGCGGCTCAGGCAGTACTTTATCAGCCTTTGAATTATAACGGTGTGTGTTTAAATTTAGATTCCCATTGCAGTTTTAAAGTTACAATAGATCTATTCTTGTATTCGGGATTGTTGTTTTTGTAGCAAGACTTCTTTTTACCTTAGGTTTGGTTTGGTTAAGTGTACGTACCTGTTCAGTGATGACTTGTGCGTAAGTGTTGTATGTCCCGAACTGGTTGAAGACGAACGGATTCAAGAGGCCCATGTTGCCTGCCATCTGTTGCATACGTCGGAGCTGTCGTTCCTTCTCGGTGTCCGCGAACTTCACTACCAGACTTGAAGATGCACCCTGTAATGGAAGACCCGATTTTAAAATCTAATCTTACATTGTTTTGAAGAATGATTTTGTCCTAGATACACTGAGAGACGTTGAGACCTCACAATAAGAGGAATAAGAGGAAATGGAGCTGTTTACGCTCCAAATATGGCATATAATTTATAGTTAGCGGCTTGGCTCTGCCCCTGGCATTGCTGAAGTCCATGGGCGACGGTAACCACCATCAGGTGGGCCGTATGCTCGTTTGCCTACAAGGGCAATAAAAAAAAACTTTTTTTTTATTATATGCCTAATAAGGCTGCGGGGTGCGAAAAGAGGACTCTTCTTTCTTTGCATCAACCTATCAGGATAAGGATCTCGCTTGGATCCCGACTCCAAAGTGTCCAATTCCTGTCGTATGTTGGCTTAGAAGCCGGCAACGGTATTCCAAGAAAACGACGTATAAGCTGCTATACACACATCTTGTGAGCGAACAAGCGTGCAGCGGATGACCGTATTCCGTGAACCAAAAACAACTGTAGTCTAATGATATGTTTCTTAGTCATTCTTAAGTTTATAATGTTCCCCAAGTACAAAAGACCATTTTACAAAAATTTTTGGTCTTTAGAGTTTTATGAAATATTGGCTTCAGTAAGATAATGTTTAAAAACAAACAAACTAAGTATTTGCAAATCTGCGAAACCAACAACTATTAAATATTTCAGACAAAACGTTCAGCCCTTTAAATCTGCTTAAAAATTCAATAAACGCCTCGTTCCATTACAGAGTGAATAGTTGAGGAGGCTCCCCCGACAATAACATTCACGAACTAAAGCTGAGAGCGTAATACAGAGCCAGCTAAACGTTCGCATTCATTATGTATTTGTACTGGCGCCGGCAAAAATGTACCGCCGGTTCGGCTGGGTTGCTACATGTAAAATTTATTTGTTTCGTTTAATTTTGTTATACGTTTTATTCTGGGTATAACTTAAATATATTGTAGTTATTTCTAGTATCGGTTTACCAGTTTAGGGTGTAGCTGGTGATAAGTGATTTTTAAATCATCAATTGTATCACGAAATAAAAGTCTTCATTATAAACGCTTTTGCGGTAGAAATTGCCACGATAATGACAATTATCCGTGCGGGCTAACTATACTTCCAAATACTAGTATTTGATTAATAACTCAAATTTCCGTGAGCCCTGTTATAAGCTACTCGGTCCCACAACTATACGTTGTAACATTATGCAAAGGATGCACTTTTGGAGATTTTGAAATTGCGATTGTTCTGACTACTTTTTCTTTTTTTGGACTGTTCTATCTACTACTTTCGGATAAACAGAAGAAAAATAGTTGTACATTTTAAATAGAGTAGATATACATTGGTATGACAACGATAAAATAATGCCGAGCGAATAAGAGGGTTTAGGGCGGATTCGACCAAACTTAAATTTAAACTCGAGTAACTATACGAGGAATAACCTATTCCATGATTTTAATCTCGAGTAAATTCATAGTCGTTTTTCCACGTATACTTGCGCTAGGAATAACAATACGCGAATAGCAGAGTGAATGGTGAACAAAAATAAAATCCGGCAAATAAATGTTGTTGTTAAACGGCATAGTGTAAGAGCATACAAATCGTCAACTCGATTTTGCCGTATTTTAGTGTGAAAAAGTAGCTGTTGTGTAAGATATCCAGCTGTCAAACGTATTATTTTTATTTGTTGTTTGTTTGAGGGCGGATTCGACCAAACTTAAATTTAAACTCGAGTAACTATACGAGGAATAACCTATTCCATGATTTTAATCTCGAGTAAATTCATAGTCGTTTTTCCACGTATACTTGCGCTAGGAATAACAATACGCGAATAGCAGAGTGAATGGTGAACAAAAATAAAATCCGGCAAATAAATGTTGTTGTTCAACGGCATAGTGTAAGAGCATACAAATCGTCAACTCGATTTTGCCGTATTTTAGTGTGAAAAAGTAGCTGTTGTGTAAGATATCCAGCTGTCAAACGTATTATTTTTATTTCTTGTTTGTTTGAGGGAATTGTCAAGTTTTGTCGTGTGGTTTTATCTTTTTTCGTTTAAACGTTGCATTCAGACTATTAATAATCATTTAGTGCATTGCGTTGACTTGAAATTAAAACAGAATAAATATTTATGAAATGACAGAAATCAGATGTTGGACTGACAGACGCCATTACTTTATTCTAGGAATAGCTCCGTTATTCCGTGCGAAACGGCGGTATAGTAACAATTCCCGAATAGGCCCACTATTCTTAGAATTGTAGTTGGTAAAACGTAAAATTGATTTACTCTCGATTAACTGACGAGTTATTCTAAGAATAAGATTTACTCTTGTTTGGTCGAATCGACCCTTAGGATCAGAACTAGAAAATATATCATTAAAATTATAAAAGTGACTAGTTTTTGCATATCGAGGGCTTTATCAAACATGTCCTGTGGACTATTTCGGTGCGCTATTTTGTGTAGTAGATAGTAAACTACGATCTCCACTTTGCTTTTCCTTTTGTAAGTTTTGTATTTCTTACAGTATGTCTTTACGATTCATATTGTTTACAATCTTCGGACTGGGCAGTATTTGGTTTTTGGTCGGGTCGTAAAACGATTTTAGATTATATGCAGTTTTAGGGATTTTTTTTGTTGGAAATCTCATGGGAAAATAGATTTTACAAATTGCAACACTGTGTTCGCAGTAGGCCTGCCGGGGCCGGCAACAGGTTGCAGTCCCGTTGTTGCAACAAGTTATTTGGGCTCGTTTCCAAAAATGCAGAGGTCGAGATCTCCGCCAACTTTGGCATGCCGAGCTGCCTCGTACTTCGCCTAATAGCTTTGGACGAGTAGAGTGCGAACACGGAATATTCTTGTTAATAGCTTTCGAAAAGTGTTATTAATAGATTCATTAGTTAGGGATTTTTAACACCTTTTTCTAAATAATACTGTAGAGAAGTGGCCACTGCCAATGGAGGACCAACCATCAACAATAGAAGTCCAATCTAGAGTTTAACTGAAGTGGTAGTAATGATAAGGTAATGGTCTAATTACGTTGGGTTGATGGATACGTTATCTTCTTTTCTGTTAAGTAACTTGAACAGATGAGGTCAAAGATCTCACTTGATGTAAAATGGCCACCGTGCATACCGGTGCGTAACGTGTCGTGAATCATCATCATTCATCATTATCCTGCCCTTCTCCCAGTCACCTGGGGTCGGCGCAACATGTTTGCTCCTTCCATACTCTTCTATCATATACCATTTCTTCGCTCACTCCCCTCCTACCCATATCGTCTTTCACACAATCCGTCCATTTCTTCTTCTTAGGTCTATCTCTTCCTCTAAATCTTTCCACATTCATAGTTAACACTCTATGAAGTGTGAATATGGTTCTCATTTTAAGATCTCTTACTAACTGTAGGGTAGGGGATCAGCCCTTGGTGGACAAAACTTCTTCAAACAATGTACAGATTTTATCTCTCGAGGTCTTTGTACATTCATACTTTCAGTACTATTACTGGAAGGTGGTCACCGTCGAGACATGTAAATTAAATAAAATCATCTTCGTATTTTTCCTTCTAAATTGGAGTTTACCTTTTTTTTATAATCTAATATTATTCGTTCTGTGTGCATGTCCTAGTCATTTGTTTCAAACTATTTATGTACTGTTTATGCACCAATGTATTTTAATAGATTTATCCTTTGTACGGGTCTTTACATTTCTGTTCGATTATAATTTTTAATAATTTTGATCATCATCACTCAATCACGAGTGCATTTGGATCGTTTCATACTTGTCACTGGAAAAAAGACCAGAGACCAATTATGACTCGTCTTGATAATTGTACATGGATGGATGTGTTATCTTCTCATCACCGATTGATGTTAAATATTTATCACTGGTGGTAGGACCTCTTGGGAGCCCGCACGGGTAGGTACCACCACCCCGCCTATTTCCGCCGTGAAGCAGTAATGCGTTTCGGTTCGAAGGGTGGGGTAGCCGTTGTAACTATACTGAGACCTTAGAACTTATATCTCAAGGTGGGTGGCGCATTTACGTTGTAGATGTCTATGGGCTCCAGTAACCACTTAACACCAGGTGGGCCGTGAGCTCGTCCATGCATCTAAGCAGTAAAAAAAAACATATATAAAAAAAAAAGGTTTTAGAGCATCTCTCGTCGAAGAATTTACCTCATCACCGATTGATGATAAATATTTGTAATATAAAAAAAAAGTTTTTACAGCATCTCTCGTCGAAGAATTTACAACTTGGCAAAGAGCTATCGTCGCAAACACACTTCTCTAGAAATCGCAGTTACATCTCGAACTCGAATTAAATATTGTAATTTGCCAACAAAAAAATACTTAGCAACAATATCATTAAGGGAACAAGATGATATTACGGGGTGGGGCGTAACTAAGTTATCAAGTCATTAAGTGAAGTGGGAGATTGATGGCGACAGTTACCGACGAATTTCATTAATGAGTACGCGTTTTGAAGTACACTATAATGCATTCATTAATTTCTTATAACTAGTGGTCCTCCGGTAGTCGAAATTCGACTATAATTAATTCAAATCAAATCAAATCAAATCAAAAAAAAAAAAAATTCAACATAAATGAAAGTACATACTTGTTGAACGTCAAAAGAACTACCGCCAATTCACAAGAACTAGCCTCCGTCCTGAGAAGAATTGGCAAGAAACTCAGCGGGCATGTCTTTTTTTTTTTTAAATATGAAATTATTATTTATTTATTTTTTAATATTAGATTTTTTTTTAAATATGAATTTTTTACAATGAGTATTATAACGTAACAATTACTACAATATTGAAATGCCCGGAGCGAGCAACTTGAAATTTGAAATTATAAGTTTGAAAATTAGTATGGTTCTATTGTCAAACATTATTATACTTCTATAATATAATCACAGATTTCGCCAAAACTAAACTATAGATAAATAATATTAAAGACAAACAATATTAATATTATTCTCAATATGACAACAGA